CAAAATGATCTGTAGAAATGAACTTATATTTTTTTTAGTGTTTTCCTAATGATTATAAAATAAAACTAACTAACTTTAAATAAATTCATTAAACCCTACGCCTAGATTGATACTTCATAACTGGTTCGGAGAAAGACCAGCTAGTTACGTTTTTAACCTATATTAGAAATTCGTTCATCATACAATGATATTTTTTGTTGACAAATAAAAAAATAAAATACATCAATCCTAATTAACAAACATAAAAACATCATCATTGTCTTCAACAACAGAGAGATAGATACAGTACATGAAAAACGCAGGTAACGCACAGACGTTTTTTCAAATTCAGAGGCGCATATCTCGACAACTAATGGAGCTAGAGCAATGAAACTTTTAGCAAATATATATTCGACGGAGTTCTAGTTGCCATAAAAATTTCAATTTTCTATCTTTATGTAGTTGAGTTTTATACAAAAAATATTGGTCGGTAACGCACAGACAAAAAAGTCCCTCTTTTTCTGGGTGTATGTAAGAGAAATGAGAACACGACGAGATACTCTGAGTTAATCAATTAAGTGAGAGATGGTTTTATAGTATTCATATATACAGCCTACAACAATTATATGTATGTGGGATTCGTGTTTTTCAAAATTTGTATCGGCTATTCAACCATAATTTCGAATTATTTTCTCAAGTAACATTTAGTTATTTGAATAAGTAGAAACATTGACGCATCAAATTGATGCCATTCGATTTTGAACAAATCATTAAAATGATGAGAGAAAGAAAAAGAAAATGCTTGAATTTCACAGAAATGAATTGGATCATAAAGACCATCTATTGAGAATTTTTCAGATGTTACAGCAAAAGCAAGTGAACCAGAAATATCTTCCAGAGATAGTCAAGATTTTGAGAGCTACTTAAAAAGAAAAGCAAAGTTTTGTAGAATGAAGATAAAGTGTGTCATGAAATCATTAAATCACGAGTTTTGTACGATTTTTCAGACATTATAGAAGTGCTACTGATGTTTTATTAAAGTTTCGTCAGACTCTTGAAAGCTTCTAAGCAATGAATATCCACTTATTGATACTTATTAGACCATAGAATCATATGAATTCATGCGTTACAATGAAAGGCATGACATTTATAAACGAATAGGACTAGTCTCAATCATACAACATAATCCGGGTGGTCGCATAAATTTTTCATCATTTGAAAAGTAATTAATATCTTCTAGATTTCGAATTTCATTCAAAGATACCACTATGTCTATAAAGTCATTAATGAAGTAGCTACAAGTCTAGAGCAAATTTTCCCTTGTTTCAGGGATTCTTTGCATATCAACATGGAGATCGGATGCTGCCCTAAAAAACATCAGAAAGCCTGTTCGATGTACTGCTGAATATCGTATCTGACAATGATCGAGTTCTTGTTAAAAAATTTCATCAACTCCATGAGAATTCACTTGTGTTTGTATACGTTCTTCGCCAAGTCGATTCAGTCCAGACAAAAGATTTGGAAAGGGTGTGAGTGAGGGTGGGATAGTCTTCTTTTCATTAAGTTCTACGACATCTACACCCACACATTCTATTTAGAACGAGAAAAGAAATTAAAATGAAAGTACGATTTTTTTCTTAGGCATACTATTCATCTATGTGCAATTTACAAGCAAGCAACATGTTTATTGCTTTGTTGGCAAATTGAATGTAACAAGACTTTTGTAATTAGAACTGTGAAAAATAAACGAGAAAAACATGAAGAGTATAATGACCCAGGACGAACAATCCGACAGTGGATCCCATCGGATCCTATCGAATCCTATCCAGATCCTATAGGATTTTATTGGATCCGGGTCACGATCCAACTAACGGATCCATAGTATTGGAATCCGATCGGAATCCGATAGGATACTATAGGAATCTCGTCGGAATCCGACTGCTGGAGTTCCTATCGAATCCGACTGTTGAATTTGGTCGGATCTCTGTCGGATCCGATCGGATGTCTCTCAGATTCCAACACTAGGATTTGTTCGTCGGATCGTGACCACCCAAGGCAAAGCCGCTCGGTCGGATTCTGTCGGATGGATTTCAAATCCGTTTGAATCCGACGTTTCAGACGTGATCCGATCCGGATTCCTTTGCACAGGATTCCGACGCAAACTGGAGCAGATCCGATCGGTTTTTAACGGAAGACGTCGGATTCCGATGCAATCCGTTTCGGATCCGATGGTTGCCAGTAAGATCCACAGGTCGAATTCAATCTCTTGGGTATCTCGATTTCTCCAAAAGGCACCCAAGAGATTCAAACCAAGGAAAGCCGCTCGATCGGATTCTGTCGGATGGATTTCAAATCCGTTTGAATCCGTCGAACGGATATTTTCCGACGTAATCCGGTCCGGAATCCTGTGCAAGGAATCCGACGCAAACTAGTTCGAATCCGATCGGTTTTAACGGAAGGCGTCGGATTCCGATGCAATCCGTTTCGGATCCAATCGGTTTCCGGTAGGATCCACAGGTCGGATTGAATCTCTTGGGCAGGATTCCGATCGGATTTTGTAGGACTCGTTGGATCCTATAAGATACCATCGGATCCGTGTCGGATTGATTGACCTGGGGATTTAAAGCATTTATTTATGAGAACACAACTATTAAAGAAAACTATACGATTAGTAAGACTGTGTCATATGTACTAAACTAATAATGTATTAAACCATAATTATATTTGAAGATATAATACTTATTCTTTTCCTATTAGAAATATCAATAATGTTGATTCAAATCTGAAAATACAATGTTATTCATATAAAATTTACTAGAAGTTAACTGTCAGTTTTATAATATTATTAAGAACAAAATTGAATAAGATCTTATTAGAGTAAACATCTACATGTAATAATATTAATATAATATCTTGGATCTACACTCTTTGTCTTGAATGAACAAGAATGCTTGCCATTTGCATAAAAATATATCTTCTCTCGAAGAATTATTTTATGTCTATCTTTCAGAGCATTTTTTTTTGGTTTTCCATGTGAAATTACAATTAAATCGATTTGATTCAATAGATATTTTAGAATTATCGGGAAAAAAACTGATTTATTGTAGGTGATAAAAGTTTAAACCTTTTTGTTTTTTAGTTTTTCTTTCATATTAAGAAGCACTGTTCTGATTTAAATGGTGACAAACATTGTACGAGAGATCGGCTGCAAGACGTACTATAGGAGAAGGCTCTGTCTATAGATATAGATTTTTACCAATTAAAATACTTTTTTTTTCTAAGAAAGAATAGGAGTACGTGCTCTTCAGTATTTCGCATGTGCTAACCAAGAGATTTGCATTAAATTGAAAAGAAAATACATAGATCGATGGAGAATTTCATGCTCTATCAGATTCTAAAAAAAATTCGTCCCCAAAGTTGACCTTTACCTGAAAACGCTGATTTTAGTGAGAACTGCCGGAAAATATGAAATTACTACCTACGAAGTCCTTGTTACCGCAATGTCTTATACACCGTTGGAAAGAGTGTTTAAAATTGAACAGAATGATGTATTTGAAGTTTGAATATCATTCGCTTTTCACATTCATCTTTTTGAAATAAAATTTTGGGAAGCACGACTAACTGATCTCTTTTATTATTTTGACAGGAAAAATTTTTTAAGAATCTGATAGAGCATGAAATTTTCCATCGATCTATGTATTTTCTTTTCGATTTAGCGTAAATCTCTTGATTAGCACATGCGAAATACTGAAGAGCACGTACTCCTATTCTTGCTTAGAAAAAAAAAGTCTTTTAATTGAAAAAAATCTACATCTATAGACAGAGCCTTCTTCTATAGTACATCTTGTAACTGGTCTCTCGTACTATCTTTGTCATCATTTAAATCGGAATAGTGCTTCTTAATGTGAAAGTAAAACTAAAAAAAACAAATATCAAAGAAATATTGAAAAAAACAAATAAGTTTAAACTCTTGTCGTCTACTATAGTATATATAGGCAAGAAATCATTGAAATCGAAAGGAAAGCATCTGTGGAAGTTTCCACGTTAGTTGTTTATATGTAGTTGATTCCATCCATCTATGCTGTCTTTGTAGATACACTTCTTGGTGATATCTTCATGTCAGTCGAATGCATGTGAAATTTTTGTTCATTTGATCATAGTTGAAAGTAACTTCGGTTAGATCCCATTCGAACAAGTATAATAAAAAAGAAAACAGATTCCAACAGATCAAATCTCAATAATATTTGATATGTCGATTTGTTTTTTTTTCTGTCATGTTTAATAATTATACTTTGAGAATAGATCATTGAGTTACTCAATGTCTTGAGAGAAATCGTTCCGTATCACTAGAACGTGTATGTCGCTGCCTTGGTTTGGAGAATTTCTTTTTTGTTTCAGTGTATGATGAACATCGACACTCGACGATGTGTGTTACGCATACTGGAAAAAAATACTGCAAAGCATTCATTAAATCAATTGATGGTTATGTCCTGCTAGAGCAAAAATCGTTGAACACTTACAGGTCTTTATTGCAAATAGATAAAACGTGATTTTATTGTTTGGATAGATCGAAACGTTTTGTTCCACGCATCAATGTGTTTAGTATAGCCACAACGTGAATGTCATGTCATGACATGACTGACAGATTCAACTCTAATATTCGATGAAAGAAGCTTACAATACTTTGCAGTATTTCCCGACATCTTCAAACCCATTTTTGTTTGTTCTCTTTTTTTTTTCAAAAAGGTAGATTGAGTTTCTTTCATACACGTGATCAAACACATGTCGTTGAAAACTGAAAAATACTCTGTTATTATAATTATGAATATTTATAAGAACGGAGAAAAAAAACACAACAAGAACAAATTTCTATTCCATTGTAACTGTCGAACTCTCTGATGTTACTGTTGTAGAAAAGAAGAATAAAGAATTGAAAGAAAAAAAAATACACTTTTTTCTCTGATCATTCATTGTTACTAACACATCATTTGCACATTCAATACTTCGAAAAAAAAACAATTATGTCATCGTCAGCTATTGATCAACACAAAATTAGTACACCTGGTAAAACTAGTGAAGTAGTCGAAGCAGCTATTGAACAATCACCTAATCGTCCACCACCTGCTGGTGGTGCTACATCGTCTCAAAATGAAACTGCACCATCGGATAATGTTGTTACCGCTAGTATTACAGACAGACCTCAAAATTAAACATTATCATATTGGCTCATAAAAACAATTTAAAATTTTTCTATTACTCTTGAATTTTTTTTTTATTAATAATCAATTAATTTTTTTTTTAAATATGCATTTTAGAGTTTTCTTCTTGACAACTAATTATTATCTTGTATAAAAATTTGATTTAATAAAAGAAAAGAACAATGAAATTTTGCAGTCATTTACATCAAGTGAAGTGAATTGAAATATACGTAAATTATGTTGTAATGTAAGGAAGAGAACAAGACAAGCAAATATTATTCATTAGTAGTACAAACATCAGCAAGTAGAACATAAAAGAAATATGTTGCTTACAATAGAAATTTGCATGAATGAGAGTTAAAGTTTTAAAAAACTTTAAAACTTATTTATACTCTAGTGAATGTACTCACTCGTAAAATACTGACACTAAAACAATATCACAGGTACTTATGGTTGTTGAATACTCAACAGTTGTATTCAAACTAGAATTTGAATACAAAATCCAATACTTGTCTTGTAATATTCAGTGTTTCATCTGCATTTTGATATATATATATTTTTTTGCTTATTCTAGTTTGTTATAGTATATCCATTTGGTTTAAATATAAAATTAAAAACAAGAAAAAATACCTGAACATATTGAACCTTAGAGAAATACAAACGATATGAAAAGTACGAGTGTTACTTTATCATTGTATTTTTTTTCAGAGAAAGAATAGAGAAGAAAAATTAAATATTTTCTTTATTTTTATATAATATATTTACAATTTTATCTATTTATTTATTTTTCCAAAGAACGCTGTTCTGAAATCAAACGAAAAGTCTATTTTTCATAGATTATACGACTACATGATCACTAGATAAATATAATAGTCGAGCATTCTTGTCTTACAAATCCTTATCCATTGTGTGTTTTCTTAAATATAGATCTCTCGTATTGTTTGAAAAATTTATTTTGTCCAAAAATAAATAAAGTCGTGTTTTTTATCCTATAAAATTGAAGAAACATTTAACTGCCTTTTCAAACGATATAGATTGCTTTATCTACGTCTCATAAAGTAAGAGTACAGTAAAATACAAGTATAAAGCGCTGAACGGTACATTGTTTAATGAAACTGAAAAGTATGACAATGAGTAAACGTTGTATTAATTATAAGACCAAATGATTTTAATAAATATTTTCAAGTTTATTATTGTTTATAATTTAGAATCGCCATCCATTTGTAAGATAAGTTGTTAGAATAGGTAGTGGAGCTTTTAGCATTGATGAAGCTCAGATATTTGAAAAAAACAAACTTATTAATCTCATCTTGAAGCTATAGTTGGTAAGCGAAAACTTCTTGAATAAGAGTTGTGTCGCGGTTGGGTGTGGGTGGGTGTGGGTGTGGGTGTGACTAAAGAGAGAAATGACATCCACACCCACACCCTGATTACAATAAATAACTGAACTGGTCTTAGTCGAAAACAAATTAAAAAATCAAAAAGTTCGTTTGAATTAAAAATAGATAACATCAATTAATCATTAAATATTTGTTCTCCATTTTTATCGATCACTAATTTCAACTGTTTCGGTATTTTTTCCATCATTTGTCGGCATTTCTCTGCAGTAAATGTTTTCCAATAGACTGCTACCTGCTCTTCCAAATCTACTTCGCCATCAAATTCTTGCCCTCGTACCTTTTCTTTAATTGCATCCCAGACTTTCTCGATCGGCCAAATATCGGCAAATTTAGCATCACCTGTTTTCGGATCGATCCGTTCATCAAATAGATCAGCAACGGTATTTTTGACAAATGTCGTCCGATGTTTGTTATCCTGATCATCTTGAAATATAGGTGTTGCACCAGAATTTTCAAATACTTCATATATTGCTGGTGCGGCTTCTTCTATTAAAAATTTGGAATATAAATCACTAGTTAAGTACATTTTTTTGTTTTTTTTAACATGGTATTGTTTCTCGTGTAACCATTTTGTTAAACTAATCGGTGCATCGACAGGAATAAGACCGTTGGATGATATTGCACCCCAGAAAATGATTCCTTTTTTAAATTTATCTGTTGGTGCATTGATTAAAGATGATGGTATAGCTTCATTTTCTTCCGCCCATATACCATCATTTCTTTTATTCTGAAATGGTTGTAAAGTAAATACACCACTAAAATCTGTATTAACTACCCTTTCCCATTTCCAGTTCTTTGCATTTCTACTAACACCAAACTTCGATCTCAATCTTTTAGCACAATCAACTCTATCGATTTTATTTTGATATGATAGTTTTTGAGATTTTCTTGTTTTAAACCATTTTAATTTTAACTTTCGAGCAGCTTTATAAACTGTATATGTTGAACATCTTATTCCATTTTTATTCAAATTCGCTGTGACATTTCTAATAAAAGCTCCTCTTTTTAATCTCATTGATGTTTTCACTTGCTGTTGAAAGATTGGTGTTGATATTGTGATCGGACGTCCTGGTCTTTGCCTATCATCGATGGTGTCTCTTGTCAACGTTCTTTTAACTTTTGTTAATAATTGACGACTTTTTAATAATGGAGGATTTTCGGATTATCGAAGAAAGGTTGAAATTTGAGATGCTGACCGTGATGGATTTAAAGCTTTTAAGCCCAGAACAAGGGATCGAAATCCTTTTTTTTCTGCTGAAGTATTTGGCATTTGTAAAAATAAATTAATTAATCTTATTCTGTACACGTAATAAGCTATATTCACATTTGACTTTGACTAAAAACCGTGAATACTATTTAGAAAAACATTAATTGTATAAAAACGAACTCGATTACTGGTAAAATTACCTTGTGTCTGCTTCTAACATACTAGTACAAATTGTTGTTTCTGCACGTGATGTTCAAAAGGATAAAAGAATACTATATATTTTTTCAGTTCAAAAAAACATCAACAAACGACAGAACGCAAAAAACAACGAGTTAGCAAATCATTATTGGTTTCAAAATGAATGATTTTCGTAATAAATACAAGTTTTCTGAACCAAAATGATCACAATTAAAATGCAAAAATTTGCTTTATTTTTTTCTGACATTTGGAATGCGATATTAATAAAGAGTATAAAGCCCAAATTTTGGTACATAATAGGTCTTCATATCATGGATATGTACTGTAAATATCAGCGTTTCAAATCAAACAATGACGTGAAAAAAGAAAAATTAATAAGAGAATCAGAACTTAGCTAACACCCTTTATGCGTGATAGAAAATCATGAATTGAACCCTCAAAACAAAGCAAAGCTGCTTAATAAACATGGCTCATGGCATACAATAAGGAAAAGCTATTGACTTGATGGTGACAATAAAATAACGGAGCAACAATACAAAGATGAATTGAATAGAGATAGTGCATCCTTGTTCAACTTATTATCTATACCAAATCATCTGATGGTTCATACCATTTCAATGATTACTCTCATCTGATTCTAATTGATGTCGATGGATATTGAGTACAATAGCAAGCTAACATGTAAGTAAGTTGTTTTATTCAATAAAGACAAATAATTTTTCCATGAAAACCAAAAAGAATAAAAGCAAAGCAACCACAGTAATGTCGATTGCTTAATTTAATGCTTGACAAAAGCAAGAGAAAACATACAACATTGAAAATTGACATTATTTTTAATGTGTTTAATAAGAAGCGTTGTTCATATCATAGATAGCTCATTCAAGTTGAAGATGACGGATGTACGCGTTGCAACAAACATGAACAACGCTTCACCATGACTCGGTAAAGACACAATAAATGCCATACAAAAAAATGTAGACCTGCAGTTAATCCACCATACAATCCAAGCAGTGTTGTGAATATGTAAACAACACCATTTTGTTCAATATAATGATATTGACATATTGATGGAGCACATATTTGAAAATATGCAGAATAATTCGCTGACAAATTCAAGGCTATTATTGAACCCTCATCTATAATCGATCTAATTGGAGTTGTTGGTGGGAACTGTGTTGCACTAAGATTAAATGTAGTAAATGAAGTGCCAAACAGTTCGTTTAGTTGATTGACGCAAACATCATCATAGAAACATTCAAATGTCGACTGTGAAAGACCATTCATAATTGAGCATCCAAGAACAATGCCTAAATAAATGAAATATCAATAATATGCAATTAGTTCTTCAACTATCATCTTTTAATCATAGATCTTTTTTGGAAATCTCAATAAGTCAAAGTACAATTTTGAAAGCATATGAGAACGTTTGATTAAAGAGTTTACCTGGAAGTACATGTGGATCACCGATTGAATCATAATATATAGGCATCGTTGTACAGTTGGGTTCACCACTTGGACAAAAGCAAGTACCATTGTTCAACGAAACTGGACTATTATGAAGAATATAGTTTTCATCTAAGTTCGAAAAGTCTGTTTTCCAGCTTGTCATATATTGATTATGAAATTGATTTGCTTGAAGAATATCAGAAACAAATTTATAAGTATCAAATGATGAGACCAACGAATTGTTAAATAGCTCCGTTGTAAAAGCGTTAAACTGTACATGAAGTGTTTGTAAGGTCATTGCTTCGGTTGATATCAAGCTTGCCTCAATAAAGATTTCGGCTAAAAGCCTTAAACTAGCCATTTTGACAATACATCGGGTATATAGGGTAAAAAATTGTGATTTTATCGGATTCCAATTGGATACTTTCCAGGGTATGTCTGTTAGTAACGGTGACCTTAGGAAAACTTGTTGGATAGTCATCTGGTTGCAGCTTTCATGGGGTGCGTATAAGATCGTTGAAAAATTTACATAAGGAATATCTATATTTGTACAAGGACAAGATAAACTATCAGAATATTGGCTGTGAAGATATGAAAAGTAAGTTTCATTTGGTGAATCTACGCTTATCAATACTATCCGATGCTGAAATCGCACGAAAATTGAGACAATTATAAAAGATAGAGCAAGTAGAACAATATAGATTTTTGTTGCTAAATGTTGATATTCCACTTGTTTTTTTTCTCGGTACACATTCATAAGATAAAGTTTATCTCGAATATAGATAAAAATCATTCTCCAACGTAAAGGAGCATCTAAAATAATTCAACATAATTAAATAATAGAAGAGAAAAATTTCTCACCTCGTGTTTGTTGATAGCAAAAACTATAAAACAAATGAATAATTTTGATGAATGACGGAACTAAGATACGAAGTAGAACAGCTAATCCACCAATCAGGCCAATAACTAAGTTAATACGAGCAACAGCATGTAATTCCTGATCTATTGTATAAGTACATATCTCTGGCTGACATTCAGCATAGTACAATGTATAATTTGGTGTATAGACTAATTGATTAGCAAGAGAACTAAACATTAAATTTATCAACTGATCTTGAGGCGTAAAACTGATTAAAGTGTTTGGATCAAGCGCTGTTATATTATCCAAATCTATTGGTAAATAGATATTTTGATTACCACAAAGACGCTGGTCAATTAGCATCTGAACACAATCTTCATCGTAAAAACATTCTAGTGTGGAGAAAATAGAATCTACAATGTAACAACCAAGATACAGGCCAGAAACAATTGGACTATGCGGACTCCTTTGAGAACAAAATTCTATACCGTTATAGATAAGCATTGGCATTATACAATAAGGGGCTTGCATACAATCGCATGGCACCGGACCATTGGTACCGATGTAACTTGTCGTATACTCAAGAATCCATGTGTTATTGATCTGGTTGGAGACCACAGAATGTTCAATAATATCGCGTGAAATTGATCCACTCTGTCGAATACTTTCTTCCATTGGATAAAATTTAGGTGGATATAGAGAATAAATCTAGATAAAAAAATATAATGATATATTTTGCATTCAATGACACTAGAATAAAGTTGTTTTGCTTTTTCAGATTAATCTACTTATGTTTTTCCTTTCATCTGTAGAAGATCAATATTATTATAGATATTCTTCGTAAGGTAGGTAAGAGTTCCGTACAGTTCGACATAAATAATTCCAATTTAGATGCTCAAAAGTATAAGAAAAGATCTTTTTAAGGTCTCTTTTTTCATCGTATTCTACCTGTGATCGAAAAGAAGCGTTCCAATCTTGAACTGTTTCATTTAATTGTAGTGGTGTGATAAGTTGAGGAGAGAAAAAATATTTTGCTTGAAACGAGTGTACTATGTTAGCGAGACTTATATTGACTGTGTCGCATAATATTTTAACATAATTAAAAAATTTAAATCCATTCTTGCGAAAATCAAAGAAATCAAATGATGGAGTAGGATCGATGCTACCATCGAGAAATTTCATTGTCCAATATTGGAGCCAACGATCATCACGAACAAAATGACTTGTACAAAATGGATGAATTTGTACTTCGCTGGATATGAATGTTGAACGTTGTATCGATGAATTACGACATGGACATGATAGAATCGATGAATACATGTCATGAAGATGTTCAAATTGATCCAGACTTGGATTTCTGACAATGACTTGTTGTGAAATAACTATTGAAGTAGAGTAAATCAACAAAATACAAATACCAAGTACCAGCAATATAATATAGATACGAGTAGAATAAATACCATGTTGAACATTGGTGAAAGTTGTTTTGAACAAATTCAATGTGATAACTTTGTGACGAATTAGCTTAATGAAATTCCATATACGATCTTTGAAATCTATGCAAAGAAAAAGTACAAGAAGAATAAAATATATATTGATGGAGAGATTGGCTTTACTTCTACTGGATTCATGTCCTTCATCAGCTTCTATCACTTGAACCCGCCGACAACATAAACGTAAAATTAATTTGACAAACAATGGAGATGCTATATATACTGCCACGCGAATTCCACCAAAGACACTAACTATGGTTGTAATCATGTAAATGAGAACAAACCGTTGTACATATGAATATGAACAGGCTTTAGGTGCACAAGTTTGAAAATAAGTAGCAAAATGAATAGAATTTTCCCAAGACTCAATCATTAGATTATCAAAAAGAACAGCAATTGTTGTTGTTGGACTAAATTGTGAATAAGAGTTTGAAATATTTAGAGGTGAGACAGTGCGAAGAGCACCAGTCAACGAAATCACAATATCTAAGCATGTTTGATTATAAAAACATTCCAATGTTGATTGAAATAATGCATTTTGTGGTAGACATCCTACTTGAAATCCTGGAATCATGAATAGAGGCGATACATCAAGTGAAAAGACTTCATTCGGAATGATAGATCGCGTTTGATTATAAATACCAGCAGGATAAACACAATCACTTGTACGATTACATTGACATGTTTCATTCGACATGAATGACGATTGAGTTAAATCGACTTGTTGTGGATAAATGGCAGAAAAAGTTACAAAATTATTGCTACCAAGAACACCTCTCGTATAGAAATTTGTTCCTAATGCAGATAAAAACTGTTGTTCTTCAACTAAAGATGACACAAAATGATAGAGTGGACGGAAATTATCAAGTGTATTTTTCTGGAATTGTTCAATAGACGTGCCTATATAAGTGCTGACTACATCGCGTGATAATGCACTTGGCGATAATATTGTCATTGCAGCAAATTCTATGAGAGCACCGTTTACAACTCGACGTGATGTTCGACAGAGAATAGATAAAATTTGAAATTGTGCAGAAGCCATCAAACGAAAGTCAAGAGGATAATAATTGCTTGTATTGACATTGAATAATGAGGAAAACCATTCTTCACTGACAAAATCACTTGAGCATACTTGATGAAATCGAGCATTCAATGACACAATTTGTGAATAAGGAATCGATGTTTGAGAACAGCGGCATTCAGCTGTAGTTGCGTAACGGTTGACGATATTTTCGAAATCATTGACAGATGGTGAAGAAACAGTGATTAGACGTGTTTGAGGGATAATACCAGTAACTGAGAGTAGAATTAAGAGAGCGATCAAAAGTGAAATAATTAGAACACGTGTAGATAAGAGTTGCGTATTCAGAGTCAACGTATCATCATCATCGTATAGGTTCAGATTCCTGATGAAATGTATAAATTGATTTTTGTATCGGATATGAGTACTAACTTTGGTAGTCATTGATCTAGAAGAGTATTTATTAACTATGCTATACAAATCTTAAATATGTATCGATCGATCGAAAGGTTAAATGTATAATTCTACTACTCGGATGACGTATGAATCTAAGATGAAATCAACATTAGTGAATTGTTGATTTCTTTTCGATTTTTTAAAAAAGCAATAAGTCATTAGAATTGTTGCTTTTAATAATTGTTCATTGAATATTCTACTTTTTTTTGTCTTTTCTATTCTCTAAATAGCTTCTTCCTCTTGTGCAACTGGTAAAAAAACGCTCATGTTAATATTGTTCTAGATATAACTGAAATAATGTAATAACTCGGGAAACAACATCACTGTGAAGAATACAGAGAGTTACGCCTCCAGTTTATGAGATACTTTCATTTTTTTTAATTTCAAACTTTTCTTTGGACAATATTTTCCTACTTGCTCAATTCTTTTGCTTTAACTGCTCTTAGATAATTACTTCTTTGTTTTTCTACCCATGTCACCACTTTTTTAACAACTACGACATAGTGAGCACAGTGCCTGCTAAAGTGTTCACTGTTCTCGCAGTTGCTGAAAAAGTAGACAATGATAAATACACATCTTAATTTTCAATTCGATGGTTCTTAAAAACCAATAGTAACGGTTAAACGGAGTATAAAAGGGCACATCTCAAGCATACGAGCTCATTTCTTTCTTATTCTATTACCAAGACACTTAATTTAGTCTCTCAAATTATCAAGATAAGCATCATGGATACTTTAATAAAATGGTTAAAGTAGAGATTTTTTTCACAAAAGAAGGGCTTTTTTTAAGAAAAGAACAATTTTTTATAAAGTTTAATCAAAGGTTTTAGGGATCGAGGAATCTGAATCTGAAATCAATTTTTCGGAATTTTGAGTTCGATTTTACCACAAAAATTTTTTTGTAAAAAAATATTTTTTTTAATAGAAAAATTTTTTTGTAAATCACTTTGTTTCGTAAACTTCTTTTTCGTTAAAAAAATCACCTTTTCACAAAAACCTTTGATCAAACTTTATAAAAAATCGTTCTTTCCTTCAAAAAAAGCTCTTCTTTTGTGAAAAAATCTGTATGTTAACTACTTTATTAAAGTATCCATGATGCTTACCTTTATAATTTGAGAGACTAAATGAAGTATCCTAATAACAGAAAAAGAAAGAAATGAGCTCGTATGTTTGAGATGTGTTGTTTTATATATTTTTTATTTTTTTATTTTCTAGATTTTTATTTTTTTTAAATTTTTCTACATTTTAACATTTTTAGAATTCTTTTTATTAGCAATTTTTTTTTGATGTTTCTAATTTTTTTATTTTTTGTATTTTGAAATTTTTTGTAATTCCTAATAAAAGTATTAAGAAAGTGAAAACGTCACCTATGTTGTCTTTTTTAGCAATCGCAATTTTTTTATCGCAGTTACGTGGAATTGCGCTGTGGTTTGACCGCAGTCGAACACATGGGATATGATTTAGACTGACTTTATTCGTCAAATATTTTTATGCTTCTCAAAAAGTAATTATTTCTTTTTACTTTTCTTTATTTACAAAGATGTAGTGCTACTTTTTAACAGAATCAGACCTAGTTGGTTGTACACTGCTCATATTTCTATATAAATCAATGAATTTTATTTTTAGTGAAAGCTAGTTCTATCCTCATGTAGTACAGATAAATCAATGTCTAGTTTTGTCAAACTGTGGTCCATGCATTGTTGACAAAGAGTTTTCGTGAAATCTTTCATTTGGAATATTACTTCATTATTTATCGAAGATAATTTGACATAAACAATTATTTTTCAGTTAAGAAAATTTTGATTGTTGTTTGGCTTGATTTCCATGTCGTTCTTCATCATTCGTCAATTACAAATCTTCTTTTAAACTAGTACTGTCTATCGATTGAACTTTTTCCTTTCCATTCTAAAAGATTAATTAATCATCGTAACATTTGCATTTATTTTATTACAGTTGGCATAATTTTTCCATTTTCAATTAGTGAGAATGCATTACTGTCCCTGATTGAGAAACAGCATATACAATTATGTAAATAAAAAGTAAAGCAAACTCAAGTATGACTGCATTTCATTTTGAAATTAAAATTTAGTTCTTAGCAACAATAGGAAAGTAATTCAAAAATAGAATAGCCTTTTTATTTTGTTTATTATTATTTTTTCCGTGTGAAGGTATAGTTCAATAAAGTATGAACAATCTCCAATTTTTATGCGGAACAGAAGCAGTGTATTGATCGGTAAATAATTTTAACTGTTTTCATTCTTTCTTTATGTCTCAAGAAGTTTGGAAATATTTATGTTTGTTTAACGTATCATCCAATGCTGAATCTAATATTATAATTTTGATAGTATCCTCAAGTGATAGAGTCAAAAAAAGTGTTCAACATAAGAAGATGCGGCTTCATCGAAAAGTATTTTGACCAGTGCTGAAAGGACGTAAACTTCAAAAATAGATTCATAGTTTAATTTAAAAGTCTACGTTATCTTACTACTCATATGACAGAGGAAAAACTTGGTTTTTTTATTTTGCACCATTATTCAATAATTCATGTAATAATTCACATCAATTTTGACATTGAATTGTTAATTCATCGAATGGAATTAGAAAATAATCACAAGTTTCATGAAGATCTTGAATATTAATCAAGAATGGACAACATATCGTTCCAACACTATGAAAATTCTCAACATAAAACTTTTATATTACAAAAAAGTTTTCTTTTTTACAAATAAAACTCGAAGTATGGTTGTATAAGTGTCATTCGTAATTTTATATTCTTCTTTTTCATTTGATATTAAGAATATTTCGTATGATAAACTAAACATCCTATTCGCATATGAATTAATAATAAATCTTGTTTCATCAATACTCGGTGCTACACGATTCATCATTATGATGTACGTCAATAGTTACATTTGATGATTGAACAGGTTTGCTGTTAATTACGAGAATGAATATAGTGATAATGCCTATAGTGATTAAAGCATCAGTAATAACAGATAATGTGTCATATGATAGTCTATGATAGATAAATTTAGATGTAATACATTGTTGTAGAATTTCGAATTTAAGAGTGTTAATTTAGGACTTGTTGAGTTACTGGAAAATTTAAGAATTTCATACATTGGTTGTTTATTTATTCGAGATATTAATAAAATATTGTAGTTCTTCATCACTCATTGATGTACGATAGACAAAATAATATGTGTGAATTTAACAGCGAAGGAAAGAAAAAAGATACAACTGATCAGTACGAGATCAAAATGACGCATGAAGTTAGAAAATTTTTCAACACTATCTATAAAGTAGATGAAAGAATTATCAATCAACATTGATTATTGGTTATATCATCTTCAACTTCTTTTTTCATAGTATAATCTATCATTATGAAAAGTTATTTCTGTAGAGTAAGAAACTATCAATTGATCTTGAAAAGTGACTACAATATAATTTACTGTCTAGCTAGTATTTCAATATTTATTGTCACAAATATCGACTAAAGAGATTAACTTTTTTAAATCAATCATTCATTTTTTTACCTAAAGCGTATTTATTAGATTTTAAAACTATTGTTTGATTTAAATTTTTATAAATTAAATTAGCAATACATGATAGTATATTTTTCTGATTAAGGTTTATTTAAAAATAATAAGCGTAAATATTTGCTTTTTCGAAAGTAAAATATTAGTTTGAATAAGTTTTACATTTTTATCTTTATTCTTCATTCAATATTTTCTTTAGAAAAGTCACTTAGGGTAGGTATAAATTTATGAAATATTTAGGTTGAGTCAAAGTTTTTCTGTAAATATATATGATCGTCTTTAGGTATCTGTCCTAAGCTGGAGAAAATATTTTCTAATGGATGAAGACTATGTCAAATAAAATATTTTAAAATGTAGGAAAAGCGAATAATAAAAAAATTCTGCTGCAAAAGTGTTTAAAATCTTTTCTAATTGTATTCTCTTCTGTAAACCAAGCTAAAATACTAATAAGATCTTCTACCTATTCGCATTGCAGTGTATATCATCTAGCTATAAATATACTTGTAGACTTTTCCAATTTTCGACTTCCTTGTATTAGGAAACAATTGTATAAAAAAACGAAAATAAATAGAATTCCAGTTTCTGTATCTTTAATAAATCAGTTAAAGGAGAAGTTTTATATCAGTTCATCACACATTTTTTTTTTCATTATTCATCAAACAATTATATAAAAAGGTGATCTTATTCCAGCTTTTACTCTTAAATAACTACTACGTCTTATTTTTCCTTTTCATGATTGCTATTCGTTCGTTATTTCTCATTTTTTTAAATTTTAATATTGTTATCAGTACTCTCTAAAAAAAAAAGGAGTTTTGCAGCCCCCCCCCCCCCCGAAAAGGTTCTGTAGATTTCTAAAAGCATCCAAATATGTTCAAAGTCTCAAAAAAAGGGTAAAAAATTCGACAGAACGTTTTGAAGGTTCTGCGGAGTACCCACTAGCAGAACCATCTCTTACGAAACCGTTTTTTAGGTTCTGTATAGCAAAAAAAGGTTTCGTGAGAAAACACGAAACCTTGAGGGTTCAGTA